AGGAAAAACATTGGATAGATGACTTTGTAATTTTAAAAGACGAGAATAGCCTTTTCGAGTGATTTTAAAGAGGGAAGTTTTGTCACTGAGCCGGAAACATTACCACTAGGCAGTAGGAAAATGTTTTGACTTGGCAGGTTATCGCCATCGAACGAAGGTCACTCAGAATTTGTTAGATTGCACGAAAAAGAGTCAACTATCGCCCCTTCCAAACAACATGTTACAAAATCTTCCGAGCAGCTTTTGAATCCTAACAAATCAAACTGAATTCATACACTTACTTGAAACATATTCTCTAGTCTTCAAAACAATGTACAGATGCTAATCCTGAAGCAAGAATGACTGCCAACCAAGTCGAAGACATCTCGAAAACGGTGATACCAGATTTAGAGAACGGGCGAACGAGTTTTGAAGTCGTATCATCGTCGACTACGAACCGACTGTTATGACCCACGTAGGTCAATGGGAAGCGTCTTTGCAATATCCATTACAAGCAGTGATTACATTTGGGAGACTAAAGCCTCTGCTTCAATCGAACATTCCCTACAGTTCAGACTTGACGATTGTAGAAGAAGTAATTCGCACTTTAATGTATCTTGCCGTAAATATAACCAGCACATTTGAACTCTTCGATACTTCTCCGATATTATAGAAGACAACTTCAATTTGCATCGTCTCTAACTCTAACTCAAGAGGTAAAACCAGCCGAGTTGAATCGGTGAACTGGTGAATCATTTCAAGCTAGCTTCTGTTGATGTACGAAATGATGTTTAGGTACTGCTGTTGCTTAGCGTGCCCTTAGTTACTGCCTCCATATTTGGTATTGTATGCATAAATTTGTGACAACAAATTTCCGAAATAAGCTTGGTTCCGCGAAAGATAAGGCACACAGGATGTTATTACGGCTTACAAACCTAATGAAACATTTTCAACTGTTTACGCTATCAGGCCAAAACTATTTCCACTACCTGAAACGTATCAAAATTTTCTAGAGAGAATGATCACCCTAGATAAAAGAAACTTGAAGTTTCATTTTCAATGTTAGTAGTCTTTAGGTACTTTAAGAAAACTACGACGGCGACGGCAACGAAAACCGACTTAGCAAAACAAAAGATTTAGATATAACACATGTAAAATTGATTACTGGTTCTTATAGAATAGAAAATTTCGACTAAACTAATGCTCCTTAAATTCAGACTGATGTCTATAAGAAACGTTATACCAACTTTGAGTGATTGAACATATATTGTTTCACTTATGCCGCCGGAGCAGAGCAGAGACGGTCAGTTGTAACTCGAGTTTTCACGCATTAAGCGACCATAAGAATGTAATTTTCTCCACACGGGTAGAATTTAACATCAAAGTTTCAATTTAAAAAAACTCCCAAATAAGTTGGAATTATATTGCGCTGGTCGTTAAACCGGCGATAAGTCGAGAAAATGTACAGTTTAAATCATCGTGTTTGTTTCCTTGTGGGTTTCTCAGTTATGGTGAGGCAAAAATTAAAATAAAGAGTGATATTTCCAGTTTTATCATCATGGTTTCATTCTCATATATGCCGATTAATGACCATCTGGAGCCAGATTGCTTACAAACGCAAAATAAATCAATGTTCTCAAAGAGTCATAAATGAAGATTCTAAACACTTGTTCCGCCAACCTTGTATTTTAAGAATATAAACAACGAAGTTAATTGTTTCTTAAGCCTTCGATTTTAAGTGTAAATTTGTCCTTAATATTCGGTTTGAGTGTCCCTGTCGGATAAGTAGCAGAGATTAACTGAAAGTAAATTGCCACAACTTTTCCATAGATTTTATCTGAGCTCATCAACGAGAGACAAAGGTTATTTAATATGAAATTCTTAGTCCGTTAGCAGACCCCTTTGATTATCACTAAAGGGCGACAGCGAGACATGACTTCATCTACGAAGGGTTTTCCCCGATTTTCGTTTTATTCTGATTCGATTGGTCAGCTCAATTCGACCGACGCAATTTGAAATAAATAAGCACTAATTTGCATTCTGTTTACTCAAATTTGGTAGGTTCACTCAAGTGAGCAAAGTCAACCAGTGCGAAAGGTAATTGTAAATGACGATTTAAAAGCGAGCCAATTTCGCGCGGCTCAAGCTGAAAGTGAATCGTTTCGTTTGGTCGAGAAAGTCGAAAGGGGAAGGATGAAGAATGATTTTCCAATGGGTAGCAAAGTCATATTGATCTATAATTTGGTCTGATTCAGTTGTCGTGAGGTTAATATTTGTGACAAACTAATTCAATCAGGACGTATTGTGTCCTAATATTTCAATTTTCCACCCATCTTTACAGTACCGACGCAACATTACAGGCAAACATAGCTGAAATGGTCACTAACAGCACATTTAATGATTCGAACTTATCCGTTCTATGGTCAATTTAAGGGGAAAAAAGGTTGATAATTTGAGCTATTTTTTCTCTAAAATTGGTGTAGCCGTCTCGGGTTGGGTTGATCTTCTAGCACAGCCCCAACTTTATTAGAGGATACAGTTCTTGGATAAAGAAAACAATGGCCAAAATAATAGATTGCCTTTGGAACTACGGCTTTGTTTTAGAATCGTACGGGGCTGTGCGGAAATCTTTCCGATCTACCTTAGGACTATACTTGAACGTGCCGTTAGAAAGAGGATACGGCCCCTGGGTTTTTAACATCGTCGTCCTTTTAATTTTTGCTCAACTAAAGCAGAGCCTTTAGTTATATTATGCTGCAAAAATTAGCCTCAATCCTTCCTGAAAAAAAAGCTTTTCAAAAACTGTTTTTTCAAGACTAAACTTCGCGTGTTAATATTAACAGTCAAGTCGAATGGATTCACGTAAGTCCCAGAGTGTCTTTCGTGAAAGCTTTCCGAAAGCTTCCGAAAAGTCACAATCTCATGTCAGCAGACTTACTTACATTCCTTTAGCCACGGACTTAGAAGGAGATGACATAATTTGTTACTGGCTCAGCCATTGACCCCATCAACGGACATCGCCGAAGCTTGTTTCGAAAAACTACCGACATTGAAAGATAATTTCCGGAGCGAGAGGAATGTTACGGACTTATTTACCTATTTTCATGATTATGAAATAGGGGCTGTAGTCTCTAATATACTCTAGCCGCCAAAAATGTTCTTATCGTACCATGAAAAGTACGCGAATCTTCTTCGTGACATTGTTCGATTCACTTCCTTGTTTGAAATTGTTTCCTACGATTTGCAACAGAAAGTGAAATTTCAATGGACTTTGGAGTCGGACTTTGCATTCTCATGTTGATCAGCGGCTTTCAATGGATGTTGGAGTCGCGATCGGACTTTGCACTCTCATTCTTTTCTATTGTTTAGCTGACCAATCAGGATCAAGGGAGTGAATTTCTTGGGAATATTGGTGTGTTGTGTCTTGTTGCAAACCTTTCGAAAGACTATTTACTGGCAGTCAACTGAAATAATTTGGTGATTTTTTCGAGCTGGTCTGTTAATCCCTGTACCAAGAGACCTTCCATATGATTAGGGGACCTTGAAGAATGAGGTAAATATCGAAATCCAACGGTCTGCTGGGCCTTATGTCTCTCTTTTATCAGTTTGTTGCTAGAAACAAAGAGAACTATTAGTCATCCTGTAGCGAAAAGTAATTCCCTCTTTCTGAGAACCGGTTTTAGTCTGTAACAGTTTTCTTTCTCAAGTGGCTCCCTTGATTGCATATTACATCCATTAACCAAAAATAAGTCGTAAGCGCTTCTTAGCAGACGAAATTTAAATATTTCAATGTCTACTAAAGTGTAAACATTCGGCGTTAGCTCTTTATAACTGCAATCGGTAGCAGATTTATGCTTAGTCCGCAATTGCGCACGTCTTAACTTTGACATACGGTATTTCATTGCGCAGTTTTTCAGAAGAGTCTTTGGTAAACGTGAAATTTGATGTTTTATGGATGTCCCATTTTTGTGAGTATAACTTCCGTCACTCCGTCACGCCTCCGCCTTACCTTCAAACACACCTCTAATCGCAAGAAAATAATTGATAATGATAGACTGATCTATTCGTCAAAATGATCGAGTAATGTATGGGTGGGGGAGTCCCCCCAAACTGTAAAATACTGATTGTCATTTGTAGACGCTACTGCCGTGAGAAAAATGTATGATATCAGTGGTTAGCGCGAGAAGGCTCGGCTAGAACTCCAGCGCACCTATGTTTACAAAGATTTGGTAAGCGAAGAATGAATTGAAATAGGTTTATGTTTTAAGTACATTATGCATCCTTCGTTGAAAGAGGGAATTGTTATTATCAGACCATATTAAGGCATAAAGCAGTTCAACCAACTGATCCAGTTCCCAGTTCTCCTAAAGGCTTCATAATAGCTAAATCAATTTATCGGATAACGGCAATTTCATGGAGTTGAAATATTTTATTTAATTTTTTCTGAGTACGTTAAAGCAACAGCAGGTTACAGCGGTATTTGACAGAAGAAGTTAGTACTCATGTCGACCAGCACTGCTGTAGAAACACTAGAATCAGAAACAAAAATATGCTACAGATGACTATCGACGAGTTTGCGCATTTCAGCTGGCGGGCTTTTATGCATCACAGTGATGCTCAATACTGAGGCGTCCCTTTCGTAAAAACATTTAAAGTACGTACGGTGGCACCAGTTTTAGAATTTTCCATTAACCTATTGCAGTACTGAAGCCTTCTATCGTACATGAAAAGTTTCATTGAAAATGATTTCATTCTTCAATTTTAGAGACCAGGCGTAGAATATAAACTCATGAGTCAGAACTGTAGCACATATTATTCGGTGAACTGAAAATGTGATCGTACCATAGGCTGAAAATTGATGAGAGTCAATCAAGGACAGAAAACAGTTAAAAACAAAGTGTGCGTGGGCCATTAACGCGCATGGTATCAGAAAGTGAAAGATTTCCGGTTTTACGGAATTTGCGATAGCGGGCGTGTAGATAGAAGACTCGCAATGTAGACATCGCATTAGTTAACACCACTCTCCCGGAGGTGTGGACAAGTCACACCGCAAAAGTCATTCGTATGGACACTTGAATCAAATTTTGTCAGCAGATTTTGTGAAAGAGGGCTCCAGGACGAGGTAAGTTGCAATCGAAAGAGAGCTCGATTATTCTCAGTTTGTTTTCATTACAAAATTTTTGTCCTAATTTGGATTACGCTGTTAAAAACTTTCGCCTTTGTCGAAGGTTTGTTTCTTCTCGTCATTCATATTATGCGCGTGACTTCAAATTAGTCTAGGTTCAGATGCATTGTAGAAAATTGACCCTTACCTACAAATTGATCATAAATCCCATTTTGCATTTGTAATGTGCTATGCTTTTTGATATCTGACGCGCAAAGATGGCGGTTTTCACCGGGCTGACGGAGCTATCTTTCTGATTGTTAGCAACTTGAAGTGCATCCATGGCTGCAGTTTTGCTTGCGAGTTTTTCTCATATATTGACAGTGGAATCGCACTGTGCTTTCATTGTTACAACATCATTTCATCAACTAATGTTGTCTACGGTAAATCAAAGGCGAAATCTCTGGGCTTTTACAGAGGCGGTGGGGTAGAAAAGACTTAAAAGGAAACTCAAGCATGATATTTCTATATGAATTCCTTTCCTTCTCGTATTGGCTCTAGACGCAGCAAATTGACGTAACTTGACCATTTAAAGATCTTCAAGTGGCAACAGAGACATCAAGCTAACTTGATTAGTGCCGAGCACTTTATTCTAAAAAGATTATAGGAAGAATTATATATATTATATTCGAATTATATGCATTATATGAATTAATTATTATCACCTGAATATGTGGAACTTTTGGTCGCTTTTATTGTTATATCTATCTTTGGCTTAACCTGGCTATCTCCGCACAAATGAGAGCTTCTGAGACTCTGTTCTCAGATTCTTAGTTTGTTTTTCCATTGAGCAATTTTGGGGTACAGGTTGAACAGTTATAAAAACTCTTGCCGGAGAAAAAACTCAAAATCCGTGAGCCCTTCCAGATCTCTGATAATTGTGACAACTGGTCTATTATCAAATAAATTTACCTTTTCATTAACTCAGTTATAGCAGAGGTCTCGAAAATTGCGGCCATATTCGCGCTATAATCCATTCCACAAGAAAGTTTGCTTGGCCAACGGACTAAAATCAAATTTATTCACATCTTATAGCTCGATCCTCGACCCACCTCCGAACACACCTCTTGAGATAACCATGGGCCAATTAAAACCGATCTTTTGTACAGCTGTCAATCTCTTTCGATCTGCATGACTTAATGAATGTTAATATCTGAGAGTTTGCACTAGATTGCACACATTTCAAAACAACTTTTGATAGGAACTATCTTACTAGAAACAATATGCTTTTTTATATCGAAATAAGCGATCAAACGTACCCAGGCTTGTTGGTATAATTGTACATACATACATACATACATACATACATACATACATACATAATTCCATACGGCAAGTTTTACTATATTTTTCAATAGCATGTACAGATCATTATGGTGAAACGATTTATGCTAATCTGTTCCTTTAATACGATTTCTGATATCAATGTAATGAATCATCGATAGAATTAAGAACTGACGTGCTAATTCCGCTTAGCTCTTTGGCTTTTAAAGAGGTAAATCATTAGAGAACAAAAAATAAAAATAAAAACCAGCAAACAAACAGACGTAACAAAAACAAATCACAAATTTTTTTTGCAATTTTTTAGAGTATGTATGGCGTAACTCACCATGAATGTTGGACGAAGACAAGGACAAGGAGGGAGAATTCTAAACTGCATTTGAGTCATAATTTTCGGAAATACATCCAGCGACTTAATAATAAATCAACTCACTCTAACGGTTTTGCTACCAAAAATTAAAATATTTTACTGTGGTGAGTAACAGTCTTTTGCTTTTAGCTATCCGGTACAGGAAACGAGACAATCAGAGCCTATCGAGCATACCTTTGGAGGAATGGAGTTAAAACATTGGAGACAGGAAATAGCCAGGTAAGCTATAGCGCGACATCTTCAGTAAATTGATTGAAAATACAAATCTTGGAATAGTATTGAGAAAAATTCAGTGAACCCGGGATTACTCGGGATTGTTTAATATTGCTTCCCTTTGCTCTCTAATTGGCCTAAAAAACTTGAGCAACCCTCTAAGTTAAACAGATGCAAAACTAAAACTATGCCATCGAGAGTCAACGTGCGACTTGGTCAGTTTTGTTTTCAGTTCTCCCATCTCATTAGGTAGTTGTGTTTGTGTTTATTATCGGCTCCTTAGCTTTAATATTTCCTAGATATATTTCTTAGTTGGCGATTGAAGCTTAGTGTGAACATTTTTTTTTTAATGATATTTATTACATCGCTCGCAGCGCCCGTGGGTAAGATGAAGCGAATCCTGTGTTCCGATTGGCTGCCCGAACGGGCAAGATGGGCCCATCTTGCCCGCTCGGGATTGTCCTCATTGATCCCGAGCATGAAAAAAATAGAATTAGAACTACATTCGTAATTCTTGGACAATGTCGGTGATGGAAACGCAAAAGGCAGCAAAAGATAGCAAAAGATAGTCAAAACAAAGAAAACAGAAATGAGTCTCGTGAGTTTGTTGTGCTACAAACTCAGTTGGCTTTCTTTTTCAACAAGTGATTCTTAAGTAAAGCGAAATCCTTTTGCAATATAATAAATCCTTTATTAACCAAGCTTGTTCAGTCAAGATGACTGGATATTAACCTTGTTCTTTTTTCGCATTCGTATGGCCTCAACTTCGTCCCGGCCATAAAAATGCAAAAAAAAGAACTGGACCAATATCCAGCCATCTTAACCTCACGTTTGGTTAATAACGCATATTTATTGAGCCAGGTAATTTTACTTTTTCACCAGTAAAACCTAGTGAAATTCAAGCTCGTTCCTTTTATCGTGAAACTGATTGTATACACTCACAAGATTGTTTTGCTGCATTCTTAGATCTGCTGCGCAGGTAGCCACTAGAAGCAAAGGAAATCCCAAAGAAACATGTATCATCTTAGAATTTACAGAAGTTCGTCAGTTATGCCAGGTTGATTGCAATGGAGAGGCCCTACCCATTATCAGTGCTCCCTTTTACTCCGACAAGTATGAGCACAAACTTGGCATACGAATGTACCCCTGTGGATTGGGTGAAGGAAGAAATCGATTCGTGGCTATTTTTATACATATGATGAGTGGAAAATATGATAATATTCACGCAAGATGGCCTTTCACTCCACGAATCACCATTTCTATCTTGGATCAAAGTGGCAACGAACGCCACATCAGCCAAATCTTTGAAGCCAAGCCAAACATGGTGGCGTTTCAAAAGCCAACAGAAGAGATCAGTCCTACAGGATGTGGTTTACTAAAGTTTGCTCCAATCGAGGAAGTATTTGGTCCTCCTTACGTTAAGGATGATAAACTGTTTCTTAAAGTTGAGTTTTCATTCTGAATGTTAGTTACTGAAATCTGTTCAATTCACCATTTCTTTTGCATACACATTTGATAAGATAATTGACGTAAAAATTTTACGTCAATATGAACTTTTGCTTTGTAGAAAGGAATATTTTCCAGACTTATTATTTGGTTCTTCATTTTTCAATAAGCAAGGTATGATTCAAACCTATGAGTAACTTTTGTGAATAAGCCCCGTTCAGGAGATTGAGAGGAAAAGGGTAAGCCTGTTCGCAGCCCTTCCTTGAATGTTAAAAAATGTAAAAATTTCAATTATTTATTATCCAACTGTGCTTTGTTGAGTACAAATAATACGCGAGACGAGTAACTGAATATCACGCGATACTTGTACTCCAGAAATATCCGCGAAATTCGCCCGCACTGAAATAACAATTTGGATAATTACTCTCTTATTCACGTTTTGTTGTGTAGTACCGCTGAGTACTTTTACTTGTTGCCTGTATTTTGACTCGCCCTACGGACTCGTCAAAAATACGGCACAACTCGTAAGAATACCTAGTGATACTACACAACAAAACGTCTAATAGGGTATATATATCTATATATATCTATTACTCTTAGGAGACGATTTGTAGTTGACGTACATTAAAGTGTATTGAGTTGTAAAATAATAATAGGGGCCTTAAGCAGTCAGGAAGGCAACGTCAAGGAAGACTTCTATCAAAATATGAATTTCTGCTTTTATTTAGAATTTCGAAAATGGCTGCATGTGTTTACCATCTTATACGGCGCCACAACTCAACCTCAACATAACTTATAAAAGTAGCATTGAGTTCCAAATTGAAATTAAAGTAATTTTCCGTCGCGGTTTCGGTTCGCAGACGACGCAAATTTTGTTGATTTCACGTTGTTGTTTTGCAAAGGACTGCTAAGAAATGTACTAAGTTTAAAAACGCACGTGCTGAGCTTTCGTTCTGCCAATTAGATCTTTTGATTTTCCACGTCCTCGTTGCCGTCGCCGTCGTGGTTTGCTTAAGGTCCCTAATGCCATCGAATGACGTGAAAAGAAGATATACGTGTAGACCCAATAGACGTAAAGTAGATCGATAACTTAAAGGCCCATTTTCAACCGAGATGCCTTGCGCGCCCAGATCATTTTTCATATATGAAAAATACGCTATATTCCTCGAAGTTGCGGAATCGCTTTTAGGGCTTTCAAACTTCCATCTTTAATCATGTGCGAACAAAAGACTATCGTAGTATCCATATCAGTAAATAGTTTTTAATTCTTACATGTATGACGGTGAAAAACGTCATTTGAAAAGTTGATGCCGCCGAAGAAGCGGTCTAGAGGAAGGCCGGGTCTGTCCGGCTCGGCAAAGGTTATTCGACTTCGAGAGTCTGTGTATGATTTATGGAGGGCAAGGAAAACAACAATGGGTTTCGGTAACACTACAGACAGTGCTTTTGCAGAAATGTTATTGCATTGTTCCTACGATGGAACTAGAGACTCCGGGGAGATTTTTTCGAGGTGAGAATAATTATTTGACTGATTTTTACTTGAGATCCTGAGATATGTATGTAAGCGATCTCATTTGTACAAGTCATTATTCTATAATTGAAATGCGTAAAGTAAATCAGTTTTGGCCAATATTGGTTATTTGTTTATATTTTATTTAGTGTTGAAGCCGAACAATTTCCTTCAACATCAAGTAAGCTTTGTACAAGTTTTATACACAGACTCGATTTATGATTTTTCAGTCTCAAATATTTAGCTGCAAATTTGTTTACTGTGTTCTTCACCAAATCTTTGTTTTTCTTTTTAATAGTGTTTGTGAATGACTATCAGAGTTCGCCATTTAACAATAGCGCGATTCCAAAACAAAAACAAACGACTGCAAAGGATCTCGGATGAAAATGGGCCTTTAAGAGAGCTAAGTAAAAGTTTTAAACCGCCCGCTCAAGTATTTGGGCAACAATATTTAATAACTTAATTTTGTAAGACACGGTATTTTTTCAAAACTAAGCTTTTTGCGAGAGGCATCATCAAGAAGTTTCAAGGGAGCTCTTGAAATATCTAACAAAATATCAGTTCTTCTAGTTCGTAAATTTTTATTAATTTGCTTATAGCTACTGTTATGTTAACTTAATTGGTGTCACCATCATTGTTGAACAAGTGGCTTTACTCTAACAACAATTGGATTTATTGAAGGCGAGATATTTGTAACATCTTTTTTTAGCTATGAAGTCGATACAATATACCCCCTAATCAGGTAGAAGAAACTCCCTTTATGTTTTGTATGAACTCTGGGAAAGTAATTAAAAATTCAGAGTGTTTAAGATAAACAAATTGCAGCCGTCGTTGACGTCGTAAGACAGATCTAGAATAACGTGTGTCAAAATATTAACATTTAATCATAAACCTGGTCTAGAAGGGGAATCCCCTCATTGTTTTTCTATCCTAACGGTTCGTTGACGATACATGGCACCTTATTTACATATCGAGTGTCAAAATGTGTTTCGACGACAAATTCTTCAACTATTACAAATGCGAAAACAAAAACGCAGACACTAAACGTAGTGTTTTTTGTCCGACCTCTTCAACTGCTGCACAACAACTTGCGAATCATCAGACGATTCCGAATTTCCTTGCCATCAACTTCGCTAAATGTATCGGCGACTACGGAAATTTCTCCTATTACTGATGACGGTTCATCTGCACGGCTTTCTAAATACTCCTCAATAGAGTCCACGACGTCCTCCACTTCGCTTCGAAAATTGTCCAACTGTTCTTCTGATTCTAATCGCTTAGTCACATCGTCGCTTTGCAAGGCAGTTTTACTCGCATCTTGTAATGTTTGAAGAACTCTTTCCTTTACGGTTTAGCACCGTTCTGTTACCTTTCTTGTTAATAATATCTTTAGCCTTCTTTGAATTCTTCGTTACGGCTCCTTTGAACGCTGCCCTTCTTCGAAGAAGATACTCGATTTGCTGCGAAGACATGTTTGATGCCCTCTTTCTCGATTTCCCACGGCGTTTTGGATCCGTCTTTCGACGCCTTTCGAAGAATCAACTGCAATTGATCCAGCTCGAAGGAACAAAAATCTGTATCTTCTCTTTACCACAAGAAAATATGATCGATCGCGTAGTTTACCGTGTCAAAACTACCAGATAATCTATTATGCCGACAAAAGAAATAATGAAATGATGAAACTATAGTGACGATTCACCTTCATTCTAGATCTTTAGTCATTAAATTCAAGTGGAAGAAATAAAGAAAGATGTGTCAGAAATGGTTTGTGCGACAGACCGCTCGCTTGTCGGTTGATCAGTTGGGAAAAATCAGCAATTGACAAGGCCACACATTGCGGCAGCAATGTTAAGAATAGAAATGATTTTACTGCAAACTTAGGGGAAGGAAAATGGGATGTCGCGCAGTGCGGTTGAAGATGGAAAGTCTTTTTACTTTTAATACTTCATTTTGAAAGATGTGATTTGCGTCATTTTTCTTAGTCTTTCAATTTTAGATCACAATTTGCATGACCCGTGATAATATTAGTTCACAAACATCCTAAAACCTAATCGTTGCTTTTCTATAGACAGTTGACTGATAATACCACACGCGTTACAAAGAAAGTCACCAAAACAACGTTAGAAGGACGGTTGGTGACAAAGCGGCTACGGAAAAAAGATAAGGAGACTTCACACGTTATATTCTTTTTTGGGCTTCAGAAGGTTTTTTTTTCCATTTCACCCCTTTGGTTAATCACATGTCAAATTATGTCAAATTATGAGTTGTTTGGGCCTCAGAAAGGGTAGGTTGGAAAATATGGAATGCCGGAATTCGGAACCGGAACCGGAATACTCGGAATACCCGGAATTTCCGGAATTCTCGAAAGGACCAAAAATTAATAGATTTAAAAAAAATAAAATTAAATAAATAAACAAATAAGAATATCGATGATTAAAAATTAATGGTAAATTCACAACTTAATTAAATAATTTAATACGAAATTTTTCTCTGAGGATTCCAAAAAAAAAAAAAAAATGACACACTTACCGGCACTGTTCGTGGAGATGCACGTATTAGAGTTAAAAAAAGTCTGCATCAGGCCAGTAGCATATACAGCCTAAGCGACGAGATATTTTTACTATTCCTTCCCCCTGGATGGGATGCTAGTCCATCACATGGTTACTCCTCGTTTTAAGTTGGTCTCCACCCATTTACGCACGTGTAGGATGTCTAGGGCGCCATGACCATTAGGCCGCCAGGCTTTTCCAGCCGTAACCATTGCAGAAGATTAAACAAATGCAAAATTTCCAATTAGTTTAATAGTTCAATTTTAAAAAGCTACGAACTATAAAAAATTAATACTCTACCTTGAATAGTTATTAACCACACATTGCAGCTAACATTAAGACCAGCCGTCTACAGTTAAAATTGAGAGATCCTCAATTACTCGACACCTTTTCGCGTTTATTATATTACCTTGAATATAAACCTTGTACTGATGGATTCTTCTAAACAAGGACTAGCATCCCATACAGGGGGAAGGAATGGTAGAAATATTTCGTCGCTTAGGCTGTATGGGCTACTGGCCTGACGCAGACTTTTTTTCATTCTAATACNTATGCGAATTTTTTATCACGAAAAAACTAGTGATTTAAGAACTAAAACGGTTTGGTCTTAGACATAGATCGCAATTGGGCATAGTTTTCATCGGTCCTCGACCCACCTCCGAACACCTTTTGTGTTGGCCACTGATTAGAACCGATCTTGGGCAAAGCTGTGAAACAACAGAAAATTTAAAACTGCAAATGGAAAGCAAACTCGGCAGCGTGGCCGAGTGGTCAGCTTGTCGACTCGCAAGCCGTCGCTCCTGGGTTCGAGTCCCGCCCTGACAACTACCTTGATTTGTTTCACGGTGGCTCCGAGTTCAAATCCTCGGCCATGCTTGTAAATAGCCAACTGGTTTGCCTCTGGCCAGTTGGGATTCTTAACAATGTTACGTTCAATTTGAATTATTTGTCTATAGCCCACAATGTAAACTACTGGGTTACCAGTAATTGTGTTAGCTATTAAAGCTAGTTTTTTTTTTTTTTTTTAAACTCGCGTCATAGGAGTTTATCTTTTTGTGGACGGTAGGGTCCCCGCCAAAGATCTTCCGGTCTCTGCAACTAAGGGAATTAATAACCAGTGAGAGGCAACTCACGAACTCTCCCCCTACGTGGGCGTCATTTTACGAATAAAAGAACTCGTTTAGCAGACAATGCATTAATCAACACAACAGTCTCGAAGGTCTGAACTAAGATACGTCGCAAAAGTCAGTCGGGTGGACACTTGTGGCAATTTTTATCACCAGATTTTGTGAGAAGGTTCCATCATGAGGTACGTGCGATCAAGAGAGAGCTTGTATATTCTTAGTGTACAGTGGGACAAGTATTAAAATTTTCCAT